ATTATTTATGATTTTTGATAACCACAATGCTAAAAGTAATCTTGTTATGCCAAACATATACGTTCAAACTATAGTTTTGTGATATATATATATATATATATACAGTAATTAAAAGTACGCGTTCCGACTATCAGCATTGTAAGTTCATACTTTCATTTAAAAATGCATTTTAATCACTTTTGAACAAATATTTATAAAAAAGACTGGCAAAAGTAACAGCCTACCAGTCTACATATTTAGTTAACAGGTGCCGCCATGGTCGCATATCTGAAACACGGAATGCTTAGAATTGTCAAAGTTTTGAAATTTCTGTTTGCATATATAATTTTAAAATTAGTTTTTATAGCTATTTATTCAGCCTTATTGTATTATATAAAGAAAGTTTTGAACACCATACAAAAGAACGTCAGAAAGTATACCAGCACACATAAAATTATCGTTTTTATATCACTGCAATTTCGCTGAAAATGAATATCCTGACATTGCTACATAACATGGTGTTTGTTTGTTTGAATTTCGCGCAAAGCTACACGGGGGGTATCTGCGCTAGCCGTCCCTAATTTAGCAGTGTAAGACTAGGGGAAGGCAGCTAGTCATCACCACCCACCGCAAATCTCCTGTTTAACAGATCCTATCTGTTTACTCTGCTGAAAATCGTGCTGCAGAGAATACAATGAAGAATGGGTGGGAGGGGGAGGAAAAGTTTTATTGTACCAAAACTAGTTTTTACTGACTGTTCTGACTACATTAATCTCATACCTTAGCTTATGAATAAACCAGCTCTCTTTTATCTGGAGACTTAGATCATCACTGACCCTTGATAAGATCTTAAACCAATTAGAATGAACGCCAACGTTACATTCTCTTAGGGCATGTTCAGGTAAACTTGATTTAATCGGAGATCTTAAGTTAGCAAGTTGTTGTTTTTCCCCTCGTGTTGACAGTTTTCTTTTAGTAGAATCAATTTAGTCTTGCTGACAGCAAAGACGAGTAAATTTATAAATTATTAATGACGATTCTAAAGTACGAATTCGGTCTTTAAATTATTTAATTTTGCAGTTTCACTCTAAATATGGTTAAGGAAAATTTAGGTAAAATACTGTTTCATTGTTCGTATAAAATATTCTATCTATGAAGAAATTTGGAAAATCGTTTTACATAAGAATTCTTTGATGTTATCAAATTCTTTATACAAAACCTCGTATGTGCTGAATGTCTCATAATTATTTAATTACACAAAGTGTTGGTACATCTTGTATACTTGAAGTTTCTAAATATCCCGTTGCCATTAGTTTACTATACATAGATACATTTTCTTTAATCATTAAGAATAAGTTGAAAAATATCATTCTAAGGATGTATCCGCAGAGATAGTTAAGGTGTGTGTTTAAATTGTCACAAAAGGATTCTTTTTTTTTTTTAGATTTAAGGACCAGAGTCCTCTTCTACAGTTATGTAAGTGGTTTATAAATTTATTTGCCCTTGCTCTCAGCATGCTATATTGGTTCCACTAAAACAAAACTTGCAAAACGAGTGATAGAACATGTTAACTTAAGATTCCATATTAAATCAAGTGTTCTTGGACATTACGGAAGAGAATGTGACATTGTAATTAATTTTAATTGTTTTAAAATCTTAGCTATGGCTTGAAATATATATGGTCAGAAAAGGTGGTTTGTTTGTTTGAATTTATGCACAAATGTACACAATGGGCTATTTCTCAACAATCGACTACACTTTTTATAGTAATAAAAGTAGTTTACCACCTGTTCTGACTCCCCAGTGGCACAGAGGTATATCTGCGGACTTACAACGCTAGAATCCGGGTTTCGATACCTGTGGTGGGCAGAGCACAGATAGTTCATTGTGTAGTTTTGTGCTTAATTACAAACAAACAAACCTATCTCGCTAGCATTTTCCAACCTTTTATGAACTACTGTATTCCCCTGGGTACTGTTTTCATTAATAATGATAATTTTTTTGTGCATTTTAAGTGTTAACATCCGATATTTCATCTCAGACTTCTGTGGACCCTTTTACAATCGTTCATGGGAACCAACATTCATACGTATATATGTATATATTTACACAGGTCTGGATTAGATCCAGCTGGAGGTGAAGATGGACAGCCCAGCAAATGTTGAAAACAAGTTCAACAGCTCTTCTTGTTTTTTAAAATTCCGTATATAGGTTATTCTGAAACAATAACATTTGTACCATATTCATTATTGGCATCACTGTTGTAATAAGTTCATGCACAGTTGCCTGCGTGAGTTGGCTTAAGCCCTAAGTGTAGTTATGAATACCATAGCAATCAATTATATACAACAAATATGTTCTAGATAACTAAAAGAATGACAAATCTTACATCACTGCTATTCACTGGTAATTTACGTAGTTTGGTAAATCTTTTCCATAGAGGGTTTTGTTTCTAGACTTCATGGCCCACAACATACATGTGGAATTTGAGAGAGCTGCAGATGAGTGTACTTTTTATTTTTGTAACTTGAGTACTTATTCAGTAGATACTTTTTTACTCTAGCTTAAGTAAATTTCAGAATGGATACTTCTACTTGTACTTGAGTAACTTTTTGACAAAGTAATTTTACTTGAACTTGAGTAGCATATTTGAGTACTTTTTACATCCCTGTCACTGTCATCATACCCCGATATAAGGAAAGGAAAGAATTCCAGTCTTTTCACTTGCCTGTCTCAGCCGGTATTCCCAACTTTCATCCCTCTGTTGCGTCAGCAAAGTCACATGACTAGTGTGACGCCACGTTTCTAGAACTATCCTGTACCTTGGCGAATGCTCTAGGATTTACTAGATATAGGGTAGTCTGGTATATAAAAGAGGGTGACAAAGTGACGGAATAATAATGTGTGTGTAGACAGTGAGTAATTGATCTGCAGTCAGAAGTATTATTGAGCACGTTCGTTGTTATAGCGTTTGTTTAGCGCGATTGTTGAAGTTGAGTGTATCGGTAAAGTTATATTCGGAAAGAATATACCAGTTTTATTAAGAAAGGACTTGTGTCGCTTAAGTTTCGTCGGAACGAAGTTACGGAAAATCAATTAACAAACGGAGACGTAACACCTCTGTTTCATCATGTTGCTCACCGCACGTCACTGGCTACCAACAAATTTAATTTTGTATTGAAACTTTATCATTTTCCCGAAAATATCAAGATTTGAATGGAAATACAAGGTCATCAGTCAGACCTTGCTAATAGAGATTTGTATATTTTTTGGCAATCATTCCTCTCTATAGTATATGATTATAAGCAATTAAGGCATATAAACTTTAATGTTTGAAAACGTATCACAAATCTAGACAGCGAATCAAGTACCCAAAACCTTTACAATGTACCAAAATAGTACGAATATATCCTTCTATGGCAACACTGACAAAATTTCTGAGAAGTGGTATGATGAAAGACGACAGTAACGACTTCATAAAATTAAATACGACAAAACGTGAATCAAACGTCACGAAATTAAAATAGTCCTAAGTCAAATTTATTCTATAACCACTTGTCTATCATTGGTTTGTATTTTTATTTTTCGCCAGGAAATAATATAGTTTAAATATTATAAAAATAAATAGAAATTATATGTAAATATGAATGTTACTTGCCCCCCACACTCCCTTCAAATTCTTGGATACGCCACTGTCTATGTCATATTTAAAAATTTTATTTATGCATCTAGCTTATGTAGATAAACATTTAAAAATATTTTAACCTATATCTAGCATAACTATTATACATGAATTTTATAAGAAATTAAGATTAAAGAAACTCTAATTTCCACATTGTTTCGTTTCCATCATTTAATAATCAATTTAAAGGAGTTGAACATGAAGATAAAAATTTCATAAAAATCCTACTTTTGCGGGAATATTTTTATGCACAATATATAGTAAATAATATTAATTACCCTGTATCAGACACCATTTTCCAATCGTAGATGTAAATCAAATGAACATTTTATAACGATAATTGGACTCGCAAACTTTTATATTTAACAAAATTCATAGCTAGTCGTTATAGAATTACATTGTTTCTAGGTTTTTGAATGGATCCGCTAGGTTTGTCGCTAGGGTCCACATTTTGGTCACTTGATTTAAAAAAAGGTCCGCTAGATTTTGGCAACAGTGGAGCTAGTGTTGTCTATAGTGTGCTCATTATTAATGTAATATTGTTTTAAATCATTTTCTCTTTTCAATAAATTGAAAACATTAGTCTATCCAAAAATTTAAAATTAAAGTTCAGTGTATTAGGTAAGGTAATTTAGAAATACACAAATCAATTTTGAAAGTTGTTAGTCTTTCTATGTTGTTGAGATTACAGTTGACGTAATGTTGGGAGATGTAGCATGGGAAGGGTAGGCTTAAGCAAATAAATGGGTTGTTGATTTGAGGAATGCTTCAGGCAAATCACTATAATTTAGTATACAGTGGAAATAAGTTACGTGTCACAATAATATAATAGTATAAGTGTAATATGTATGTGATGCAAATTAATGATTATTATTACTATTATTGTAAAGAACTATATTTGTTACCTTTCTTTCTATCCTTTTTGTTTTTAATTTGATATAGAACTTACACGTAATAATTATTTACTTGATAATGATATTGTTAATAATAATATTACTACAATGCGGAAACGGGAATATTTCTATACTGAAACTTGAAAGTGAAACTTAGAAAACTAAAAGTTTAATACCACTACCAGTTTAATATTATTAGGTTATGGTCGGAATTTATGCTTAACACTATCTTTATCTTCCTGTTAAGAAGAAACTTTACATGAAATTCAACAGTACTAAACTAGAGAAGGATTGATATGATTCTGTTTTTATGAAGTAATTTCAAATTTAACCTGAAATTTTAACATGACAAAAAGACAAATTAATTAAGTATTATCAGTAGGAACTTAAATGTGTACAATTTACACTTTAATGGAAATAAAGCTGAATATTAGTACTAGATAAATTCATAAAATTTTATAATATAAGAATCTTTACACAACAGTGACTTAGTGGGATTTAAAATGAGACAAACCTACATATTCATATTGTTCTTCAGCTGACTGGTTAATCATCATCAATAATAATGGTAATATAGATGTAATAATAACATTAATGGGATACTTATTCCTGAATATTTTCTAAATATTAATTGTAAATTTACCTATGTTAATTATAATATAAAGGCCACTACTTAGGTTTTTTTAAAAATATTAAAGTATGTACTGGGTACACAGTTCTGATTAATTATGGCTACCAACATAGTTAAATGATATAATTTTTTTTTTATATTGATTTATGATACATAAATGTAATTTAATGTTAGGGTTATAAAAGCTATATCTATGTCATATTAGCCTGTGGTAGGCTACTAACATTTATTAAGTTTTATCAATTACATGCATAAAAAGTATAGTACATTATTTTGTCTTACATTTATTGTCACATAATGTACTTACATACTATGTTATACCTATATATGTTTTCACCAAATTGAACAAACTATAATATGCCTATTTTGAAGACTAAATTTAAAGTTTAACTGTACAGAACTAATAAAAGTAACAACATAATTAAAGTTTTGAACTTAATTTCTTTCTCATTTAAACTTTGTGTTTTTAAGCTTCAGTTCAGGTTAGCACACAAATGTTCATTATTGAAATGGACATTTTTAACTTCTTTTATACATTTAGCTAAACAAGTATATAATTGACATAATGATATTTAGTAAAAACTGATGGCATGGGAGATTTCTACACAAATTGAATATTTGTGTTTGTGCATGTAAAACTCAATCTACAATTTCCCATAAAAGAGAATATAAGTAGCAAGTTGCATGTAAAATTAATTCAACAACAACCAGAAAAATGTGGAATATGATGATGTGTGATATAATGCCAACGATATCGGAAGACAGAAGTGGCCAGCTAACTGGAGATGAAGCAAACTTTGAACAACTTATGGTTAATATGCTGGATGAAAGAGATAAACTAATGGAAACTCTTTGTAAAAGTCAGGACACCCTACAAGAAACTCGGGGAAAACTAGGAGAAGTGGAAAGGGAAAGAGACTCACTTTTTCGTCAACTACAAGCAAATCTTCCTCAGGTAATTAAAAATTAGTGTGTTGTTATTTTTGTTCTTATAATGTACACTTTATTGTTCATCTGTCCATTTTGATTCTTATATATTATGTTTGCTAATGATACATGGAGATTAATATTACATGAACATAGGACAAGCAAGGTGACAAGGCTGTTTAACTCAGTGAAGTTACTTAGTCATTTACAAACAGTTAATCTAGATTCACTCCCGGGCTATACATATTTTTTGCCACTATATCCACATATAAGAAAATAACAAGTCCTTAAAGAATTTAGACTAACAGTACACACCTCATCATCAGGAAAAACATTCTCTTAAGTTTTATAACTAAATTAAAAATATACAGACTTACAACATGAGATTACATGTTTTTTTCTGTCTGTTGTCTTCAAGTAAACAGATACCATTGACTATACATGTAAGTTTTGTTTTAAAGAACTTATGTTCAGCTTACGAAATAAATACAAGGAATATCAAAGATAATTTAGAACGTGTCTGAAAAAACTAGTTACTCTTAGTTTAAGTTTCTATGTGTAAATTTCATATTTTACACATACAAATATGTAATATTCATTAACTTAAGATACCATTATTGTATACACATACAATTCTAGTTTACATGAATTAGTAATTAACTTGTTAAACTATTTTGTTATAAGAAACAGTTACACAGATACAATTCACTGCTAACCAGTGCAGGGCAATGAATGTGCTAGGGAGGTTAATAGCTGTGATGCTCCGTCAAACATTGCTACAATAATTTTATTGAAGAGCAAATGTTAAGCTGGGCTTACAAAGCTTAAATTAATCACTCCCAATGCACATCAGACCTTTAAAGATATAAGAGAAAAAGTAAAAATTAACTCATTCTAGCAGACATGTAGTTGAAAATACCACATTAGAGATTATAAAAAACAAAGCAAAATGAGCAAATATTTGACCTATGGACAGAAAACAAGGGACCATTTGGTCAAGGCTGCCCTTATATATTCACTTGTAGAAAAATATCGTTTAGTCCCACTCTTTACTTTTCAAATCATTTACCTTTTTCTGAAACTCCTGTAAAGTGCTGGCCAACACTACTGCCAATGGCCATACGTATCACAGTTCAAACATCGTGATAGGTAAATAAAACTGTCTTAACTGGAGCCTAACTTGTTTTTTTCTAAATGAACTTTCCTCTCATCCTTTTATCTTCAGAGTATAGCACAAGAACACCAAAGTCCTTAATCTTATTGATCCCCCGATAATCTTGTAAATTTCAATAAGATCACCTTGTAGCTTTCGTTTTTCAAGAGAAAATAAGTTAGCATAAAATTTAAAGACAAACAAGGCATCTGTTGGTCCATCTAGGCTGTCCCATCCACAAAATGAAACCAAGATGTGTGTGTATGTGTACACAGTGCCTACATCTTCAGTAGTTATTTATTGCTTGAAGTCAAGTATTCCAGTTTAGGGCTCTACTGTTTGGACTAACATTGGCTCTTTAAGTGTGTTGTCAGGTAGTAATAGCTCTTGCCCAGTATCTTCACTCATCTTTACATGGATGACTGGCTACTGCTTGCTTTTTCTTGTTCACACTGCAAAGACCATAATCTGCTCCTACAAGAAGCAGCACAGGTGGGATTCCTGAGGAAAGGAGGGGGAGTCTGTTCTTTTCTCCACTCAATTCTATGTTCATTAGGGGGGGGGTCTTCATACCTACCCCAATTGGGCCCAGCCTTCTCTCCTTTGGGATATGGAGGAAGAAGTTCACAAGGCCCTACCTAGCATTCTCTCACAGCTCAAGAGGTTCTATCTTTTGGTGATATGGGCTTCCTTGGAAGTTCTCATTTCCATGGGTTGGGCTCTTATGCATTCCCTTCAGTGGACATTCCTAGATCAGTGGAACTTCTACTCGGATTAATTTGACCACCCTTTTACCCTTCATTCCTGGATCAGAGCTGACCTGACTTGGTGGTTAGACAAGATACCAAACCATGGTGGGGATTCTGCTTTCTCTGCATCATCTGGATTTACATCTGTTTGTGGGTTGGAGTGCTTACCTCAACTCTCAGGTGATTTCCAGCCTCTGGTTGATCAAGGAGTCTTCTCTCCATATCACCATTCTCATGATTATGGTGGTTCAGCAATTTTTGTCCCACTTTCTTCCTCTCCTGCTGGAGAGGATGGTTATGGCACACTCTGACAAATCCACAGTGGTCACTTGTATCACCAAGTAAGGGTGTACTAATTCCAGGACCCTGTACTTTCAGATTCTGGATTGTTTTTTTCTGGGTCCACAGTTACCACATTGTGTTCCTAGCACCCTGAATCTGGTAGCAGATTGATTATCTCATCCCAACAAGATTCTTACTATGTAGTGGCCCCTTGACTCTCAGGTCTTTCAGTGAGTGTGTTCCCAGCTTGGAAAACTGCATATATGCCTTTGCCACCGACTGGTGCACCAAACTTCCTTCCTTCCTTTTGGTCTTCCGTTGCACACCCACTAACTCTGGGGGTGGACACGTTCAGTCAAGATTGGAAGGATCTTCACATCTATGCTTACCCTCCTATTTGACACTTCTTCAGAGTTGTATCCCTAATCCAAACCACTCCATGTCTAGTCCTACCAGTGGCTCCATACTGGCTGGTGCAACCATGGTTCCCACCACTCTGACAGTTACTTGTACAACCTCCTCTACTTTGTCAACCTCGATAGGACATTGTTCATCCAGATGTCAGCACACTCTGTATTCATCTTAATCTCATTGTAAAGTTTCTCACTAATTTCATAGATTATCAATTATACTGATTAATTGATTTAATCATTCAGCTCTAAATATGATGGTTGATAAGTCTTCTCCTGCATCTTTCAGTGAAATTCCTCATTGGAGACACTTGTTATTACCATTATTCTTTCTTTTCTGGTAAACAGCATTTTTTACAAATTTGTAGCATGTTTATTCATGGGGAATCTGTGAAACAGACACTATTACAAACAAACTTTGTCACCAGCTTTAGGTAACAGGCTGTACATGATAATTTCAGAAAGTTGCTTGTTTTATGTCAACCATAACATTACTGAGCAAACTTATTTTATACCACCATCATTTTTTAATAGTATACCAACTATTCTTTTTTTAAATACATTTTTTTACTGTCTGGATTGTCCTGCTGGAGTTCATCAGACTTTTGGCTAAATAGTGTTGAGGTTTCCAAATTCTTGGAAAATGACACATCTGTGAATAGAAGTTTGAAAAATTCATAGTGGCCACAGATCTAGAAAATCTGGAAAACTGCAGTTAAAAATTTGTAAGGGAAAGTTCAGGAATTTGTTTTTTTAAATCAGTGAAAACTGTGGAATGTAAAACAAATATACAACAACAAATAATGGTTAGATGCAAGTTCAGATTGTTTGGATTATACTTTTTCATTACATGGAAATGGCACTCTTCATCTTGGGGAAAAATTGAAGTTCAGTTTTCGTGGCCCCAGAAATGTATTTCCCTCTTGTACCATATGGATTCAGCTGGCACTCCAAATTGAGCGAGAAAATTATAATTGAGAGAGTATTATACCAACTACTGGATGATAAAAACCCCATAACCCGAGCGCTCTCGAAAGGTGGACCTTATTTCTTCAGTTTACCCCTGCAATGGATATCATAAAATACAATTTAATGTTCAACCAGCACATTCATGTTTCCTTTTTCAGTAACCTTGAATGGGTGAGGCAAAATCTGGTACAATTCTGTGTAGGAGAGTGTAGAGAAGATTGAAGAAGATAGTTTTCAGTTAGCATGGCTAGTGTATTATCAATACACTAACCATGAGAAGTAAAAAGTGGGACTCCTAATTCACAGAGAAGTCTAATCAATCAGTTGTATTAATTATGGTATGATTAATTGGTACGCAACTTATCAGTGATCTGCCTAATCAGCTACAATGACAATTAATAGATAATTGTTAATGACTCCTATTGGTACAATTTTCTACCAGCTTTCAACATATTTTACAGTTGATATCCAAGATTTTATTTTTTGTGCAAATTAGTGGAATAATCAATGACCTGAACCACGTGATACCATGGTAGGTAAACAGTTCACTTCTTGTTGAATTTATATTCTTACATGGTTGTGCCAACTATCAAATATTTAAGGCACATACACTTTTACTGCTGTTTTTCATAATCTTTTTGTTGTTTGTCAAAATAAAGTACGACTTGGATACAGCATCTTAACACCTTCCCTTTTTTTTTTTTTGGAAATGAGCTCAAAAATGTCTTTTTTTCTTGCTTTTTGATAGCCTATACTTGTATATTAATGAAACAAAAGTTCTTTTATAAGCTGTTATATTTCTTCGAAAAATTTACTCAATAGATAAACGTTTATATCTGGATTTATACATAACTTGTTTATTTCACTGAAACTATGGTAAAGAGTAGGAATGCTTTTCTCCAGTGTTTATGATGCAGTAATTCAGAATAAATCTAATAGAGATAACCACAAACAATTTATTCAATACCATCTAGTGAGAAGCGATTGTAATACATGATAAAATGCAAATAAATTTGGGCAAATAATTAAAAATACAATGAGAAATAGTTTGCCTGAATTAACTTGGAGGATGCCCAAGTTATCTTGGGCAAATCATGGAAGGGATTAAGTGCCTAGGTATGATGATGTGCAAGTTTCATATGATTTCCTTAGCCATTTGTTTTCTGTAAACAAATATTTTCATATTATCAGTTTACAAATGCTGTTTGCCCACTAGTTTTCTAATCATGTAAACAATAACTTGTGTAACTGCATCATGTTTACCTAAATGTGCACAGTATTATAATGGTTATCCACATGATTGCCTTAGGTTTCAGATGAATATTATTTTGGTAATGTAAATTGAAACTGCTTTGTCATATTTTTTAAAGTTAATTATGTGTTTTATTAAATAGAGATTATCAAAGCTTTAAACTTGCTTTTGTGTTTACGTAAGCTTCATGATGAAATATCTAGTGTAATATTG